TGAGCTGTGGCTGACACATCTCGAAGCAAAGCCAGTCGACAAGATTTCCCATGGAGAGACAAGCAAGCCAGCAGTAGAGCTGACTGTACACTTCAAGCAAGACCTATCACCAAAAATGCTTTAAATTCCTGCTCAACCCAAAGGTTTTCTGTCTTCCCAGCAAGGCTCACTGGCATGGCGCTGTTCTCCTGCAGCTGCAGGACCAGCACGGAGGCCAGACTCGTCAGGCTGCTGAATGTGCAGGCATGCTGCTGATCGCAGGGGCGTATGGTGCACGCGTGGCAGCCAAAAATGAGCTTTTGCGGCTGCAAAAGCATCCCAGCTGGGAGGTGTTATTGACAATAAGTTATTACCTGCCCGGGCAAGGGGAGTGGCCGCTGCATGCTCTGTGCTGCAGCCTGCTGCTTACCACTTTTAATCTGAAACGGTGTTTGGCTCAGAGGGCGAAGGAATTTAGCAAATTCTGGCTGCCAATTGTGGGGACGCGCGGCTTTGGGAGAGGTGTGTTGTCCCAGTGTGAAACACTGAGCTGGTGGACTTCAGCTTCTCCTTGCTTAGGGCAGCCTTCATTTCCACTCACCTGCTTTGGGTAAAATAAATCACTACTGTAATGCTGAAAGTGCTATGGAAAAAAAATCACAACTTCCAGCCACTGGTCTCCCAGTGACAATAGCATCTTCCTCGTTAGCAATAAAGATCTATTTCAAATTAGAGTGTCTCTAGAAAAGCAGCAGCCTGTAGAGACTGCTTAGTCCACATTGCCCTGCTCCAAATTTCTGTCATCTCCAGTGGCATCTCTGTCATATGTTTGCTCCAGAACAGGGCAAATTTTGGTGTATTTAAGTGTATTTTTATTCACTTGCTAGGAACTGATATAAAAATGGGTTTTATAGTGCACAGATGACCAGAATACCCCTTGGAAAAGGGTAAATGGTTCGAAAAGATAAACCTAACTGGGTTAGCCTTAAGGGTAGGTGTTAGAGGGACAGCAACAGAGATCAGCTGGAAGGTTGGTGTAGGCTGACACTTGGGAAAAGTACGGAGAACAAATTATTAGGAAGCTGATAGAGAATAAAGAGATCAAAGGTGATATGTGGAAGGCCACAAAGTAGCAGGGAATATGCATTTTTTGTGTTGAAAGCAGAAAGGTGATTTTTGCACAGAATTACGGGAACTACAGGGCTGACAGCAAGACTGTGCTGCTGAAAAAAAGGTAAGTATGAATTGGAAGAGAATTGTAAGTTTTTCTGGTGATCTTTAGACATGTACCTTTGGTAAAGTGAACCAGCAACAAAGCAGAAAATTGTGGTTAAAGGACATCACCTCATCGCTTCTAAAAGTCCACATTTCTACTGGAGATGTAAAAGGGAAAAAAATCCAGAAGTAAAAAGCAGCTCAAGCGTAAAGACAAGGATTGTGTGTGGGACTGCGGGAAGTGTGACACCGCTGCCTAACAGATGAGTGCTTCATCGCACAATACTTCTGTGTACTGCAGGTGAAAGGTTTGTGTGTGGCTCTAGAAGTCGCAAGTGAGAGACCCATGTTAATTAGATGTTTTGATTCTGCGATGGTGACGGGATAGTTCTACTTGGTACCGCTGCCCGTGCAAATCCACCAGGTCAAGCTGAAAATGGCAGTGACTGTCCCCTCACAGCGGGCACGCCACCGGCTGAATGGAAACTTCAAGGCAGAAGAGCAAGGGTCCTGCTCGAGCAATCCCATCAAACCAAAATAACCCCCCTCACATACACATTCAGGGATAACCAGATCTAAAGGTAAGAAGCTTCTCAGGGAATACTTGATTTGTTTTTCAAAGCACAAGAAGCTGAAGAAGCAGCAGCAGAATGCAAAGATTTAGGGAGGAAAGAGCGAGGCGAGGGGAAGGAGCTCCCCAGCCTGCTGGCGATTAGACACGGGACGAAATGGAAACAGGCTCAGTTTGTCCCAGAGCCAGGTGGACTGTGGGCCAAAAATGTATAAAAGTCTTTATAAAAGCAAATGCAAAAGTTGAGGTAAAAATGGAAAAGGAAAAAACTTGCCAAAAACTTGGGGTGACAACACCAGAGGCAAGGCCTAAATATAATCAGAGCTGAAGTTTGGAGCTGCAGGCCAATATTAAAACAGAATTTGATGACAAAGATGCTGCGCTTGCTCAGCCAGCAGGATCAAGAACATACCGGCAGAAGCTGATTTCGGTGTATAATATGCACAGTGTGACAAAGGTAATAAAAAAAGGTAATAATAATCTTGTGTTTTGTACCATATGTGTCAGGTAGCTGTTAAGCAGCACAGAAGTAGTGCTTATTAAATAAAAAAGCGTTCACTTTAAGTAAAAAATGTGATGAAATGGGGAAAAGAGCAGTTGGTGTAGGGTGAGAAAGTTAACAAAAGTAGCCCCTGGAATGGAGTTTCTGTGACCAGATGTATTTAACACAGAAGCACAACAGGTTTCATGTTTCTAACAAGAACACGTGGCATTGCTCTGGATACAGGGTGGAAACAGTAAATCTCTTGACATGCAAATTTTATAGCTATTCCTTGGAAACAGTAGCAATATGTCTACATGATCTGGTTTAAACTGCAAGCTGCACTGTGCAGTTAAAACCCAAAGCTGTAGGCAATTTTGTAAAAGCTCTAGGGCTGCAGACAGTTGTAATCAAATTGAATTATTTGGGGGGGGGGGGGGATCCACAAACCAGTTGGAATTCTTCTAGTACAAGGCACCTGGGAGGGCAGGAAAGGTACTGAAAATGTTTAGTATTTATTAAAAGTGCTTAGTACGTATTAAAAGTCTTTGATGATGATGATAGTGCTCTACATAATCACAGGTCGACTCTGACAGCATCCCCCCACTGAAGATAGATTCCCTGGCAATGAATTTCCCTGTCCTGCACTGTTCTGTCCTCCTGTGCAGGGTCACAGGTTCCCACAGCTTCACTCCTGTCACTGTCACACACAGTGTGCAGCACTGAGGGAACAGGGAGGGGGACACTCCTGCCCAAAAAAACAGGGCAGAGGAGATGGAGCAGTGGGGTTTGATCCTGCTGCAGGATACAGCTACCTTCCCCAGGTGTGGTATTTTCACAGGAGCCTACCGTGGTCAGGCAGGTATGTGGCTGTTAAGGAATGTGTAGGGCCCGCAGCTCCCCTCTGGGGTGGATTTCGAGATAAAAAACAGGGAAGGAGACAACAAAAGCTTTTCTCCTCCTCTGCTTGCATCTCAGTGTAGCTCTGTGGCTCAGCCAACGCAGGTGCTGGCGTTTTGCACAAAGGCTTGCAGTGAGCAAGGGGAGGGCAGCTGGGGTGATTTCATCTTTTCCTTCTTGGTGTCTTAAAAGCTGGCAGTAAAGGAGCACATTCCCCCCCCCAGTCCCTCCCCTCCTGCCAGAGAGGCACCGCAAAGGGGGGACGGCCAAAGAACACATTTTTCTGCAGCTGCATGGTCGTTGTTTTGCACTCACAAGCAAAACAGGAATGTTTAGCAAAGTAGAGCCATCTGGATAAGGCGCTTCCAGGCCTGTTCAGCGCAGGAGACAAAGGACTGTATGAAAGCAAAACATCACAGAGATAATCTGGAGTGGAGAAAAAGACACTGAGCAAGGCCACGCCTCGGTCATAACAGCTTGGCTTTGGAAGGGGATGTTCTTGGGTGTAGTGCACTGTTACAGCAGCCACCTAAGGGTGAAAAAAAGTTGGAAAAAGCTTAGACAAGAAACAGTCAAGGCACTATTGCAGAAACAAGACACCTCCACAGTGCTTTGAATGGTGCTCACAGAGGGGCTTCCCATCCACAGGAGGGAAGAAAAGGTACCATGGTGCTGAAATAAATGCATTAGTGCCCATACAGTCTTCAAATCATAAAAACACAGTTGGAGAGAGAGAGTTGAGCAGCACATGAGTCAGGATTATGTGCAGAAAACAAAGATGAGAGACTGCTTGGGCAAGAGACTACAGATGAAAAGTTGTGTGGCATATTTGGACACAGCTTGTAGAAAGCATACTTCTGGCAGAAAAGAAAATAAGAATAGGTAGGGAAGGGAATTGAGGACTCAAGTGAAGGGAAAGCAGAGGGATTTGGGGGAAGAAAAAAAAAACCACCCACAGGCCTAGCCAAAAAAATAAAGCAACAGGCTTGGAGCAAGAGCATAGCAAGAGATACACAGAAAAAGCCTCTGTTTATCACCTCTCAGTGTACTCTGCACAGACCTGAAATAACCACGATAGTGAAAATACCAGCGTGGGTCACACCTCTGCTCTGCCTTGCAATGATAATCCTCACCTCGGGCAGCTGAGGTGCAGGTAAAGCAGCTGCCTGAAATGGAGCAAACCGAAGGAACATCAGAATAGGGATCATTCCTGCAAGTGAGGACTTGTTAGCGTGTTCTGACAGAAAATTTCCAGCTTGCAGCCATATCTCAGCGATGGAACTAGTGTAATTGAGGCAAGCAGTAAATTACACAGCTAATGAGAGCGGCAGGGGGGTAAAGAATAAGAGGCTGAGGCAAAGCGAAGGCAGGCACCGGAGAAATCGCAAACGGTGGGAGGAGGACGAAGCAAGAAGCCGGAGCAAAGATGCCAGGGCTGCAACGCTCCGCAACTGGAACGCACGGTTGACACGGACGAGGAAGGCGCGGTGCCGCCCCTGCCCGGCGGGGTCTGAGGTGAGGGCCAGCGGGCGGCGGCGGTTCTCGCCCCCTCAGCGCCCTCAGGGGGCGGAGGTGGGAAACGCCTCAGCGAGGCGGTGGTGAGCGCACGCGCGCGCCCGCAGCCGCGCTAACGGCCGCCGAGGAAGAGCGCACGCGCCCCGCCCCGCCCCGCCGTTGTGTGTGCGGCGCGGGAGGGGCCCGGCGGGGCGGGGCGGGACAGGACGGCGCCGCGCATGCGCCCGCTCCTTCCTCACCCCCGCCCCCCCGCGCGACGTGGAGGCGGAGGGGAAAGGGAGGAGGGCCGGCGTTCGAAAAATGCCCGCGGCCTCCTATTGGCCGGCGGC